GATTTTTTACAAACAAAAAACAAAATTAATCCGTCTCTGGAGTTAAACATCCAATGAAATTAATGGGGTATCGTGTCGGAGCTGATCCGAATCAATTGAAAAAGGATACATTTTTGTAGACAAAAAAATTACAATTTAAAGTTACACCTTACACTATAGAGCATTGCTCAAAAAATTAAGTAAATAATTAATTTAAGAGCAAGTGACATCTCTCGATACAAATATTCAATGTTACTTGTACATTGTTGTATGCTGTAAAGGATGGCGCTATGTGACACTAGATGGCGCCAAGCATTGCTAAAATTGCAATAAAATTGTTTATGAAACTCGTTTCAAGGTTTTCGCACCGTGAGGACGCGAAACCAGAAGACGCAAGTTTGAATTCAAAAGTTTTTGTTCATGTATCTACACAAAATTACAATTCATAGTTTCATGTGTGCGGAGACTAGTACTAAAAATAAAAATTTATTTTAAAAATCAAAAAGAATATTTAAAATCGGTCCATAAATGATAGAGTTCTAAGCCCTAAGGTAACAAAAAAATACAACTGTTTTGAAGCCTGAAACTGTGTCTCTGCTATATTTATTTTACAGCAGTTTTATGTATGATTTATGTATTGTTTTAATTTTGTTTTACTGTAGTATGTATTACAAACAAAGATATTTCTTTAATTTTTTTTTGTTAAATTTCTTTTTTGTGCTTTTTTTTTTTATTTAGTTTTTATGGTAAAAAAAATTTTCTTTCTTTCTATGATCTTATAACAACCTCTAAAGGCCTCGCCTTCCTATCAACTTCTGCCGCGATATTTGTTGACGGATCCACTTTCAGATGACTATTTGTTTTTTTTTTTTTATCTAAACATTCCTTAGAATAAAAAATAATTAGAACATAATAATTAGAACCTTAGTGTAATTTTAAATACTTTTTCGATTTAAAGGTAGTGAGTAAGAAGAAGTTCTGTATGTAAGAAGAACGCAATTTTTTTTATGTGAAAAGTTGCCAAACGAGCAGGCGGTTCATCTGATCTTATTTGATGACTGCTGCCCCAAGGGCGGATCCAGGGGGGCGGTCATGGGGGTCATGACCCCCTCCTGGGCTGGGTCCAGGACCTAGGTGGACCGCCAATTAAAATTATTAAACATAATGTTTTTATATATTTTTTCCACAATATAGATTTTATACCTTCAATATTTAATTAAATTAATATAATATTTTTAACCGACTTCAAAAGGAGGAGTTTCTCAATTCGATTGGTATATTTTCTCGATGTATGTACACCGATTACGTTGAGATTTATGATCCGATTTACGTGATTCTTCTTTAGTTTGATGCAGAATAGTTGCAATTTGGTCACATAAAAATTTACCATAGTTTGGCCAAGTAGTTTTCATTTTATGAACATTTTTACAATATTTTAATGTTTGTCATCAAATCTTGCAAATTAAATTTGATCTACTTCCCGGTTACCGGTTGAGCTGGAATTTTGTATACATGTGTAAATCGCGATACAGACAATGCAATATTTTTATGACATGGTGCTGATCTGATGATGGAGCTGGAAGAAGGCCAATGGAACTTCGAAATTAAATGAAAAAGCCTCATCGCGTTTGGGTACATTTGAATCGTATTGACGAGTAGTTTCTCTTTCATTGGTAACCAGTATCTGATGATGGTGCTCCATCTTCAGCCGTCCATGGACATATGCATAGGGTTGCAGATGCGTTTTCTCCTTATAATAAAGTGGGCTCCGGCTACCTCACTCACTAGACAAAACGTATACTCGTACTTTTCGCCGATCTTCTGTGAGGTCTATGAGGCTATTCTGTGAGGTTCCTATGAGCACTCTGTAATGAAACGACTCAACCCCATCGACTTTTAGCTCGTTTGATTCGTCTTGGCGAGTACTTAATTTTTAGATGGTTACCAGGGTCTGATCTGATGATGGAGCTGGAAGATCATATGAACTCAGTTAAGAAACGACGCAACCCTATTGTGTCTGGCTCGTTTGATTCGTGACGAGTTCTTTGGTGCTAGATGGTAACCAGGGTCTGATGACAGAGCTGGCATGTGGCCATAGGAACTCAGTAATTAAATAACATAACTGCGTCGAGTTTGATTCGTCTTAATGGGTGGACCGTTTTTGATGGGTGGTGAGATGTGGTGGTTTAGTGGACGGGAGTATGCGACCCTATCTTTGGGAAATAAAGTTTGTTCGTTCTGTTTGTTATGAATGAGGATTCTGTCTTTGATTAGATGGATGAGCGTTGAGTATTATGAATGATGACTTAATTATGAACATTTTTTTAACGTGGATGTAATTTTATTTTGAGTGCGGCTATTTTAGGAGTTTTCATTTGGGTTGATTATATATTATTATTAACCCGTGTCCAGATAGTCCCGTCTTAGGCTACTTGTCATTGAAGTGGAGCCAGCGTGCGGAGTAGAGGAATAGAAAATATTGTAACCAATACGACTACAGAAAATCTGGTAAAGAAGAAATAAATAAAAAGAAATTCCAAAAATAAGTAAGCCTACCAATAGCTACTTAAAAAAATACTATAAAGGGAGGCTTTTCTAAGTGTATTTTTAAGTACTTTTTTTTATTAAATTCTAGAAATAAATAAAGTTATATAAAAAATGATAAATATTTAAAAATCACTCGTAATTACAGAAAGTGCGTGATTTATGGGCAACTCATTTATTTTACGCGCGATCATTCATAACTAACACGCACACAAGTTCGTTTCAAAAGTATACCATGTATTATGAATGACTACCGCATTGTCAATAAGTTGTGTTTTTTAGGGAATGGAATGCCACTTTTTTTTAAATAGTTTGTTTTTATTTCAATAAACGATTATACTACCGGGTCTAAACCTCCTGTGTGAATTTGGGCACCTTTATAAAACCCATCCTGTATAATATATGATAATAAAAAGCAACGAAATGTTACAAACAAAAAAAGAATTTTGCAAATCCGTCTTATGACGAAGTTATGCCCGAACATACCTACATAAAAAATATAAACATCCGAATTGATAACCTCCTTCTTTTGAAGTCGGTTAAAATACCTACTTTTTACTTGTATCTATGATTATAAAATTATAACTTATCACTTGACCACGACTACGTGACCCCCCCCTGGCACCAAAACTGGATCCGCCCTTGTGCTGCCCATGGCGTCGACAGCGGTGTAGTGATGAATTGTTAAACTTAAAAAGAGTCTTGATATACAGGGTGGCTTTTCTAAGTGTATCCATTTTTTTTATTAAATTCTAGACATAAATAATGTTACATAAAAAATGAAAAATATTTAAAATCACTCGTAAGTAATTAATTACATTCATTTGAACTTATCTCAAAAAGTGCGTGATTTATATGCAACTCATTTATTTTACGCCCGATCATTCATTACTAACACGCACAAAGTTCGTGCACAGTAAAATTTAGGTATTTATGAATGACTACCGCATTGTCAACACGTTCTGTTTTTTAGGGAATAGAATGGCATTTTTTTTGGAAAAAAAACTTTGTTTTTTATTTCAATAAACGATTATACTTCCGAGTCTGAACCTCCTGTGTAAATTTGGGCACTTCTCAAAAAATCTCCTATATAAAATAATTATAAGTATATGTATAATTATTGCATATACGTGTATTATAATTAATATAAATACACCATTAACTACAATTTGTGACCAATTTCCAGACGCAGGTCTGCTTGTAGAAATTTCTTAAGAAATAAGCATTTCTACAAATCTTTTCATGTAATTACAGGTCTTATATTTATACTCTGTGGGCATAAATTATAAAATAAATAAAAAATAAATTAGAAGTTAGCCCGGTTACTTCACTCACTCGACGAAATGCAAAAGCACACATACTTCTACTAAGTTGGTTTTCGGTCCAGCCGTGGTACTTCGGATAGTGATGGATACGAAAGGATAGGAAGGATGAGAAAGCCTAAAAAAAGTCCATTCCTGCTGTCACCGGACTCTATCGCGGTGAAACCACGTGACACGTCTATAACCAGATGCCGTAGACATTTTTATTGGTCCTAACAGCAGGAATTAAATTACCGTTTCTATAGATTTATCGATTCGACAAATTTCTGGACATTTCATGTTTATTGCCTAAATCGGATATGATTTACGCATTAAACGCGCACGCCCCTGGTGCTGTCAATGTCAATGGGCGGCAGTTTTCACTTATCATCAGGCGAACGGTCTACACGCTAGCCAATTTTTCACATAAAGAGAGAGAAATTTCATTTTTGGATAATATTTTGTCTCTATATCAGAATTAGTTTCGTATTTACAACGTTTACGGCATCCGGCTTTTTAAGGGTGTTTGCAGAATCCAATATTTTACTATTTATAGGCGTAGAAAGGAATATAAGAACTTGCTGAAAGTCTAGAAATATTGGCGGTGAAGTATCGGAAGGAATATACCGCAATAGCCATCAGTTCTGTTGGCGTGAAGGCTCTCTCCATTACTCTCAGATATTAAACAGACATTGACATAAGAATGTTTTCGTATCGAAGTTGTTACGAAACGAACGCTATTGTTATGTAATGATTGTTTTTATCCTATAACAACGAAGAATTTGAAGTAAATTCTCTGTAGAGGAAGACTCGTATCGCCATAAAATAAATAGAAACTTATTCGAGTTCTCAGTAAAGAGAGACCTTTCACCCGGGCACTAGTAATATTGATTAATATACGTATTTGGCGAAATGACGCCCGGTATCCGAGACACCGATCATCGTAATAGTTAACTAATCAGCTGTCAAATGGCTTTTGAAATGTTATTTGAGTTGAAAAAAGAACGGTTAAACTCTTTGAATTGATCATTTTGATCATTAAGAAGATCATTCTGATCAATTCAGAGAATTTAACCATCCATTTGGCAACTCAAATAACATTTCAAAAGTTAACCTCTACGATGATCTTTGTGTTAGAAACCGGGCGCGAGTCTCATGAAAGTCTGGCGATGTTTAAAACGCGTTGGGTACGTTCAGCAGCCTCCGGTGCTCGGCCGTCAGCTTCTTGGCGTGGGGGTAAGCTACCACCAGCGCCACGGCCACCACAACAATGACGGGCAGCGGCGTGTAAAACAAAACGGCCGAGTATAGTTCATCTGCGCTGTATTTCGGCGTAACCTCGTGCGAGTGCGCGCGTATCACCGCCGCGTAGTATTTCGCAGAGGAGCGCGGGACTCGAGTGAGCTTCTCGTCGTCGGGGTCCACGCTGTACAGGCCGAATTTGAGGCTGGAAATTTGAAAATGGAACGTTTAATTTCTTCGCTAGCTTTTTTTTTAATTGGAAATTCACGCGGGTAATTCGAAAACGGAACGATTTATTCTTCCTTAATTTTTTTCTTGTTTTTAGGGTTCCGTAACCTAATTTTTTATGTAAAATTTGACGATTCATAAGAGCGCGCAAGCGTCTATTTGAATAAATATATTTTTGATTTTGATTTTGAAAGGGTGAAACGGGACCCTATTACTCAGACTGTTTGTCTGTCTGTCTGTCGGTCCGTGACCAGGGTGTATCTCGTGAACTGTGATAGGTTTTCAATTTTCACAGATTATGTATTTCTGTTGCCGCTATAACAGCACAATACTTAAATACAGATTAAAAAGATAATTAAGTGGAGCTCCCATACAACAGACATGATTTTCATCAAGATCCGTTGCGTAGTTTTAAAGATCTAAGCATACATAGTGACAGACAGACAGCGGGACGACATTGTTTTATACTATGTAGTGATTAAAAAATCATCGAAGATAATGACTAACGCTCGATTTCACCATCGAACCCTAACTTTAAGGGGCACCCAAAAAAAAGTGCTTGTTTCATTTTAAACCCCGCTTAAGTGTCACGCTTAAGACGTTAGGTGTAAAACGAACGTAAGTTAGGAATACTTAGGGACAAGGAGAACCAACTTACATCACTTCATCGTTCTTTCGTGAAGAGAAATTGCAAATTGCAAACAAGAAATTAACTCTTCAGGCCCTGCAAATTATTACCGTTATATGATGACTCCGTGGCGCAGTTGCCAAGGTATCGGCTTCGGCGTCGGCGGTCGTGGGTTCGATTCCCACACGTGAAAACTGTTTGCGTGACCCACAGATAGTTGTTTCGCATCTGGGTGTTTGTCCACGTGAAATTTATGTTTGTAAAACGTCCTAACAACAGAATGGTGTCATCCTAAAGTAAGGGGAGAGTTTTTTTTTAAATAATAAATAAAAAATTACCATAAACTCCCCTTACGGATGGTGCTATACTAAAGTAAGGGCAGAATTTAAAAAAAAAAATAATAAAATAAAATTACCATACCAAGGGGAGTTCCCTTACCTATATCCATCTGCCCACTCGAAGTTGTCCATCATCGTCCAGGCAGTATAGCCAGTTACATTTACACCGTCTTCGTTGATGGCCAGCCAAACCTGGGGAAGGCACAGTTTAAATCAAGTCAAACCACTCAGAAAAACATTCACAACTCTATATTCTGGGGATGACAATTCACCATTAACGTCTAAGCTCCGTTCCGAGCTCTGTTCTCATAGGCGTGTCCATCTTTAAACCAAACCAACCAAAATACATAATATATGTACGATAAAATTATTACGATAAAATACGATATATTCTATTCTATTCTATTCTATTCTAAAGATATACAAATGGTATATTATAATTATATACAAATATGAGGAAAACAGAAAAAGTAAAGACATTAGAACCAATGATGCTTTCAACGCATCACTAATGCTATAAATCTGACATTAATCTGTCTTTTATTGTCATGTAGTCAAGTGCTAGAATAGCGGAATCATTCCACAGACAATTGGACAACTATATGCAAGTATTTGGCTCGGCGAGTGACTATAGAAATATTGCTTGTCGAAGATAATGGAAGAGCCAATTCTATTTTATTTTAAATTATTAAAAATATAATTATAATTTGAAAGAAGGTTCCAATTCCAAAATTTTATTTAAAAAAAGGAACGAAACTACGACTATAAAAGGGGCTCGGAGCGCGCTAGATGGCAGTTCAGTGGAGGAAATCGAGGAAGAAGATACAGGAAGAAGAAAGTGGAAAGTGAAGTAAATAGTGAGTGAACAGTAAAGTGGACAGTGACGCGAAGTGACTAGTAGTGTAAAGTCGTACGCGGTTGGTGCGTTAAGGTGTGAATTGTTGCACCAGTGTGCGCGTACGTGGAGATTGGTGCGAGAGGGAGCGCACCGGCGGTCGTGTCACTGTAAGATTGGTACGAAACGGGACGAAACGGGAGAGTCTTCGCATCGGTGGTATTAGTAAGGACTAGAGCGGTATTGAGTGGGCCGCTGTGCACGTCTTTGTTGGCGACAATAAAGATAACATTTGAACGGCTGACTTTTCACTCCAATCCCGAACCCCCAGCTCGTAACAGCACAATAAAAAATTATATATAATTGGCATTAGCTAACCACTTTAGTAAGGAGAAAAATATTCAAGCAGCAAGAGACGCTAGACTCGTCGGCAAATCGTAAAATAATCTATTACCGATTCCTTTATCTGAATCGGTAATAGATAACATGTACGAGAGCATGGATCAGGTTTTAATTGTATAAGGGCAGAGTCCCTTTTTCTCTATCTTTATCACGATTTGTTAAGTGTATAAAATATATCGTTACGGAAAGCAGTGAAAGTGTATTTGTGTATTATACCTGCTCCAAATGATTTCTAAAGTAGTTCACCCTAACTGGATCATCTAAATCTGCGCTGAACGTCGATATCCCATTTTCAGTTATGAACACTTCGATGTCGCCGTAGTTCTTCTTTAGCCAGGCTAACTTCTTCCGAAGTCCCTGTGGGTACACCTGTAAATGAAAATTCGTCAAATTGAAAACACAATCTTAGCTAATGAACATAATTTATAACAAAACTGCGGGAACTTTAAATTTATTTTATTATAACAATTATTCAATCGTAATCAATCTCCATCTTCTATGGTTTTAATGCCGTAGGTTATTAAAGGAAACTTGATTTAGATTCAAAAGAATTTAATATATTTTACATGAAAGATTTTACAAAAAAAAAATGTACTTTATAAAAAAGCTTTACAGTTATTCAATTTCCACACGTGATAGATGCCGCACAGATAGTTGATTATGCGCGAAACACGTAAAAATAAAAAACCAACAGCATATACATGTCCCACTGCTGGGAAAAGGCCTCTTCTGTATAGAGGGTATTAGGGCAATTGTAATTGTGCGTTTTTATACGATGAGGAGATGAACAGTTACGTGTTTTAGCTGGGTTTTTTCTTATTGTTTTGAATGTTGTGTTATCAATCAATTAAATAAATAAATGTTTTCGCATCTTAATTCTGGTCTCATATCATCTCAATATTAACTAAAATAATTATAGTGTGGTGTAGATGCTGGACTGGTCTTAGGCTATAGTTTTGAATTTTTTTTTATGTGTAATATTTTATCAATCGACCCCCTAGACATATCGTTTGCGTGAGATGCACGCTTTGCATGTCTAATTACCTGGGGCGGTCCTGTTCTTTTATACATCCACTTAAAGGCTGGCAACAAAACTGTAATATCTCTGGTGAGTTAGACCACTCAAAAATGACTTATCATCAAATCGCTGAATCGCTTGATATAGATTGAATCTCTTTGTAATGAGTATAGCGTCCTGTCCGCAGCGAGGTATCATAACAGATTCAGATTCGAGTAATGCTCAGGTTTAAAAATGAAAAAAAAAATAGTATCCACGGTCGCTAACATTAACACGTGAAGGTAACGTCTGGGTTCTTAATGGTCGTTGAATGGCATTCTTAGAGCCTTTTAGCTTTTCTTTCTTTTGTCCTTGTTGTATAACAGTCTTCGCCGTTGCACTAATGGGCAGGTCCGGCCAGGTAAGTACCACGACCTCACAGAAGACCAGCGTGAAGTGAAGAAAGAAATTTCATACTTCTGCGTTTCAAGGTAACGCATCTTTACCCTACGGGTGTTGCGAATGTCAATGGGCGGCGTTTATCATTTAACATCAGGTGAGCCGCCAGCCCGTTTGTCACCTCACATGTAACCCAAGCACTCAGTATACTAAGTCGAAGCGATGTCCGATCTGCTTACCCAGAACCACGATGAAGCAGCCTTTCTCCAGTCCTCGCGAACACCCATCACGGCGTCTAGGTCCACCGCCCCATCGCCCAGGGGCCAGCTGCCGATTGCTTCGCCGACCACAGCCTTCCTCACTGTCCGTGAAGTATAGTAGTTCACGCCGGAGAAATCATACGTGCCTGCAAATCAGAACAGAATCATTATTATTTATTTATTTATTTCAACTTTTACACAAAAAAATAAGCATTGTGTATAGGCGGACTAAATGCCTAAGGCATTCTCTCCCAGTCAACCTATGGGCGACGCAGAGACAAAAGAGGCAGGTGTAAAAATTTCAAATTAAATATTAAATATGAAGTAAATAAAAGTTATATACATATTCATATTATATAATTAAAATTAGCGGCGTAATTGTGTTGAGGAAAACGTAAATTTACAGATTTAGCATCAATTTTTTAACTATAGTGTGGTTCGAGATGAATAATAAAATTTGATGGCAGCCCAGGACTGTTTTAATTGGGATCCGGTCCGTTTTATCCGTCGCGCTATTGTGCAAAAGCACTAAATTAGGTGGTGGGGCGACGCAACAGTTTTTGCTGTTGCACGAACGGTCAGTTCCCTCTGGGTAAGCATCACGACCTCACAGAAGACCGGCGTGAAGTGGGCGTGTTACGTCGTGTTTCGCCTGATAGCCGGGGCCCATATATTATCTGCAACCCTATGCTGCAAATGTCCGTGGGCGGTGGTTATCCCTTAACGTCAGGTGAACCACCAGCTCGTTTGCAACCTTCACACATAGAAAAAAAAAACTTCATGCATTTTCCATCACGCTGATGTCTATTTCACTACAATCCTCGGCGTGATAGTCTTGGTATACAGTTGAAAATTATTTAAAGGTACAATTTAAACGTCTTCACGTTAGAACGAGCAAATTTTAAAGAATTGCTCCGCCTGCATCGATATTATCTACCTATTTAAATGAATAGGTATAAATAAATACTATTAAATGTACAAACCTCTAATGAGGTCTATTTCTTCCTGCGTAAAAGCTGGCAGTCTCGAGCGCGCGAAGCCCTGTTCCTTGCTTTTCTGAGCTATTATCAGCTCAAGTTGAGGTGGCCAGCCGCCCTCTTTTGTGAAGATAGCGTGCGAGTAGATTCCGGTCTTTAAAAAGAAACATCTTCTGTTAGTCTTATATAATGTAGATTATAGTTATTATTAATCTACGCTTAATGTAACCAAGAAAGATTGTTAATTTGTGTATGTGATTGTGCAGGATAATCGCGAAACATATGCATGTAGTTATGATGATGACTATTTGTGTAACACACGAGATAACTATTTGTGTAACCCATAGGTAGTCTTTCGGATCTGAATGTATGTCCACATTTATGTATGTAAACGTCTGTACAATACAGGACAGTGTTAACCTACAACAGTAAGAGGCAATGTTTTCGAAGGAAGAAGATTTGGTTACAAGCCCGGAAACAGAAAAAGTACAGCCTAAAACCAACTTAAATTACTTAAAAATACCGTGATTAATTAAAAAACGATTATTCTTAAATAACCTTCGTTCTAATGCTACTCAACTTGTTAAATGTTAAAAGTTAAATGGTAATCAGGTGATTTGGTAAATAACTATTGATGATACTGATACACGGTAAAACGCTAATGAGTTTATGTTTGTATTTTTTTAATTTATTTTTTGTATGAGTAAACTGTATTTTCGTATGCAAATCAACAAATAAAAATTTTGGATTCGAACCCACAATCATCCCGGACAATAACAACATTCATCATCAACCTCCCCTTATCCTACATAGGTGGGATCCCCACAACATGTCAAATCTGTTATCAGAGGTATTGGTCAAGTTTAATCGACTAGTCGTTGGTCTTGTTAGCCAAACAACAAGATCCCGAATAATTATCTGTGGGTTCACAAATACTTGTCCCGTGTGGGAATCGAAACCACTAACCCCGACGCCGAAGCCAATGGTATAACACCTGAGCCTGGTCATCTTAACTTTATCACTTTTATTACATTAAAATATTTCAGCAAACATGTATTTTCATACGCCTTTTATCTGGCAACATTTATATCAGCGTACGTGCAGTTGTGTACGACTGTACTTGGTTAATAACTGTTGTCCGTGATTGTACCATATACTGCCGGACCAGTTCCGCCAACTCCTCGTCCTGCTCCGTATTAGGCTCGAACCAGAACAGCTGATTCGTCAAGCCAACTTTACCTGCAATGCACATTAGACCAATCACTCAAACAACATACAGTAAAAGAGGAAGAAATAATGGAAGAGAAGATATTTGCCATTTTTGTATTCGTACCACTTTCGTCTATTTAAAAAGAAAGCACATGTAGAATATATTTCCTGAATCGTTGACGATAAAAATATTTAATACAAAGGTACAATAACTGAATAGTGTATAGAAACTAAAGATTTTTATACCTTTATTTAATGATACTGTTAGTGAACGATATAATTATGAATAAATTGTGTTCATTACATTTTCCAATTGGTTCTTATATCAATTCTAGTAACATAAAACAATGGGAATCGAACCCACGTTTTCAGAACTAGCACTGTGCTCTTTTGTGCTGTGTGCTCTTTTGTAGCTCTTTTCTTATTTTTTCGACAAATTTCAATGTTCCACCTGAAGTGCCGTGAACTGCACTATAAAAAAAACATGCCATTACTACTATGGTAAAAAACTTTCGGCGCTGTGGTATTCGAACCGACTAAAGTGACTAGCTCTTAACCAGAAGACGCATTCTGGGTAAAGGCTTAGAGTCTTTACCAACTAAATTAAACGGCCGATTGAGTCACGGCGCAAAAATATCCACATCTCCCTATTTTCATTAACTAAGAATAAAATTAAACTTAAATTACGTGAGATATTTAAATTGTTTATAGTGATAATCTTTGCACTTAAGATTGAACATTAAAATATGTAGAAAAACAATGTGGAAGAATGAGTTAAGATTTTCGTCGCTGTGGTAATCAGCTGTTTAGCTCAGTGGCTAGAGCGTCAGGCCGCGAATGCCGAAGACGTGGGTTCGATTCCCACAGCGGCGACAATCTTTTCGCACTTTTTCTACATATTTTAATGTTAAATTACGTTACTATTGTCTAGCATGCGGTGCAGTGACTCTTTCATTTTTCTATATTGTATTTCTTTATACTAAATAGGAAACCATTCGCCGACGTCAGCTGAATGGTTCGTCATAGATCCATCTCTTGTGAGAGGTTGGACCATCAAAAACCAAGATCTTAATATTGAGACACTACATATTGTGCAAACAAAGTGTCTCTCTATCCCTTTGTGTGTCCTTTTCTGCTTGCAACTTAGGACGGTATAGGTATTTACTAGAAGTAGTAAATTGCAATGTAAATTCATTACGATTCAGTCGACTTCACATCATAATAACAAGAATTTTAATTTAACATTAACTTGAACTTTAAAAGTTAAGTAAGCGAAAGTTACACCTTTGTCACTTTAATTACCTTTTACATACTTCTACGCCATAGGCGTGATAGATTCACAGATATGCTTAGCATTTCTATGCTTTTATCAAGTAACGTTATCCTATAAATATGTTAATACCGTACCGGTTAAAATTCCTGATTTATTAAGTAGTTGACCGTGAAATGTTTATCGTAGGCAAAATTTTTTTTTTCATTTATTCAAAGAATAAATTTAATTTATTCAAAGAATATTTACGGTGGTATTAAATAATATTATATTAGTTTTTACGTCTTTATCTTTTTATATTGTTTCATTTATAAACAAATATATGTTTTTTTCACACACTGATTTAAGAAAATCATATTAAATTATTGACTGTTTCGCTGTTTCGCTCAAGTGGCTGGGTCTAGTTCAAACGGTTTTCAATTTCAGTTGCATTTTTTAAAGAACTATTACTTCGTAACATTTAAAAAAGAAAAAGTAACAGCCTATACATGTCCCACTGCTGGGCAAAGGCCTCCTCTTTACAGAGGGTATTATTATTAGTATTATTCGTAACATTTATTAACTAATTATTTTAATCCTGTCATGATCTTTATGATTATTAAATTACTATATTTAGGTACTTAAAGACATTTATGTACGGGCCCAGGGCCCTTAGTTTTACGGTTGTCCTAAAATTCCGGAACTCTGCACTTGTGTATCATTACACCTTGTCATTAATAACTTAAGCGACAGTTTTCCTAAAGTTATAAACTCATTTCACTTAAAACATAGATTAAATACTTAAGTCTAAGAAGTAATGAAGTATATGAGAATAAATAAGTATATGGGAACACTCTAAATCACCTCAACCATTGTATCAGGTTTGATAGACCACAGAACCTTGCAATAGAACACCGATACCTCCCAAAGATGATTCGCGACGCTATTGAAATTAAAAAATACCCTAATTTCTATAGAAGAAACAAGGTTGGATGCTACCATCAGCTTGGGATCCTCTTATTAATAAAATTATATCTAGGCCCAAACGAACCACTACTGCAATACAAGATAAATTTAGAATGTTCTGCATGGATCGACACAAAAATTAAAGATTTAAAAACTGGCGATAGCCCCGACTAACAATGACACTCAGACGTCCAAAGCCTCAGTCTTTCCCGTGACTATGAACGCTGTAAAGGGTTTGAAACGTCGGGAATTAAAACTAAAAATAAACGTTTTATAGTAAACTCATTTGAGTTAGAGAATTGAATTTTACTAAAGCGCACTAATGCATGCCAAATAGGACTAGATCAGAGGTACAGGATGAAGTGGGAGTCAAGTGCTGGCCAGATGGTGGTTTTACGGTGGTAGGGCCACGCAGCAGCCTCGGCTGTTGCACGAATGGGCAGGCCCGTCCGGGTAAGTACCACGATCTCACATAAGACCAGCGTAAAGTGGAAGTATGACAAATACTTTCGCGTTTCGTCTGGTGAGTGCAGTAGCCGTAGCCAAATTTTCAAAAGGTTGTCAAAGCATCTGTAACCCTCGGGTGTAGCAGATGTCCATGGGCGGCGGTATTCACTCACCATCAGGTGAACCGTCTGCTCGTTTGGCAACTTTTCACATAAAAAAAGGTTGCGTCTAAAAATAATGTGGTACGTGGTATTGGCAGCGCGGTTGACTAGAAAATTCGCTAGAATAGTACCCAGTCATACTTAGCGTTCGTACATACGAGATTAGACACCAGTTAGATCAATGATGTTTGATAATATAGACGACGTACGTCAATACTGCGCGACGTTTAAAATTTTTTCCGCTTTACATTATATGACATATAAAAGTGAATGTGACAGATGATAATATAGAACGTATGATACGGAAAGAGATAGCAGTCTATAGAATTGCAATATAATTACACCAATTGGTGTAAGTTGAATGCCTTAGTTTCAGTGCACTAATGTCACATGTATCTCATATTTGTATATGATTACCTATTATTATTATTTAGTATAAAAAAAAATAAAAATTTAAAGTAAATGAAAATTTACTTATTTTTTGCCAAACGCCCTTGGCGACTGTTATAAGGTCGCGAGCGTTTATTTTTTAATATATTAAATTAAACATTGACCTTTTTTACACTAATGTCTTCTCAAGGTCTGTTTTTCAAAATTATTAGACGCTTAATCGTTTTGGAAATAGGCCGTATATAAATATGGACGACATTCGAATGCCAATAAGTACTACGGTGGAGGTCAGAGTTTTTATTTAGATTTTATGACTTTGGCACAGGGCAAGCCACGTGTGTATATGGAAAACTGTTAGAATAATATATACTATAATATATACTGTGGTCGGGTGAGATAATTGTGTTCGCTGTGGAACGAATAGGCAGAAAACGCGCGTGAAGTGAATGTGTCATACTTCTGCGCTTCGTCTGGTGAGTGAGGTAGCCGGGGCCGACTTTATTGTAAGGTAAAGCATCTGAAACCCTAGGGGTGTTGCAAATGTCAATGGGCGGCGATTTCCACTTAAAATCAGGTGAACCACCACTTGCTCGCTTGCCACGTTCTCACATAAAAAAATATCAACATTCATTTTCGCACGCGTCACACCGAGAAACGGTTGAGATTGTGCCCGTCTGTACAAGTCAAAGTCAAGCAACTTTTTCCTCTTAAACTCCCTCTACCGAAGCCAATTGGCACCGATTAGATAATATGAGTAGATGTATTTCAAGAACAAAAAAATTTGCTAATGAAAAAAAAACTGTTTGAAAAAAAGTTCACGTGGGATCCGGACTTTTTCGCGAGGGGGTCACGATAACTCCCGAAAAAAAAAAGAACTGAGACCGGGTAACATCAACTAGATTCACTTAAAATTAGTTAATTAATTATAATAGGCCTAGAACCCGCAGTTTATTAATGAATTGTTTATTTTTTTTATATTTTGTAAAATAAACCACTCACCGTGGTACGTCGGCTTGAACTCCTCGTCGTATATCCTCCAGGCTTTCGCGTGCGCAACCAGCATGTTCTTCGCGCAGAGATAGTTGGCGAACTCTGGATCCTTTACGCTCGGCGCGTGGAAGCCGGTGTTGAAGGCCAGGTCGCAGGCCACCATCGGCTCGTTGAGGGTGATCCAGGTCTTCACGCGATCACCGAAGAGGCGGTACGCCGCGCGGGAGTAGTCGGCGAACCAGTCCGTCACGTAGGGGTTGGTCCAGCCCCCTAAAATTCGCGATAGCAACAAGACCCAACCGCATTGATCCTTGCACTGATTTTTAGGGTTCCGTGCCCAAAGGGTAAAACGGAACCCTATTACTACTGTCTGTCACCAGGGTGTATCTCATAGTACCGTATAGTAAGATAGTTGAAATTTACACCGATGAAGTATTTCTGTAGCCGCTATAACGACAAATACTAAAGAACAGAGTTACAAAATATTTAATTGGGGCTCCCATACAATAGAGTTTTTTTTGGCCACTTTTATAGATGATGGTACGGAATCCTACGTGCACGAGTCCAGCTATTTTGTCCAACTCAAATGTTTCTTCGACTCTTGGATTCTTACCTAAGTATTGGAGCCTCTGCGGCAAATCCCAGTGGTACAGAGTGACTACGGGTTCGATCCCTTTCTCAAGCAGGCCGTCTATGAGTTCGTCATAGTATCTTATTCCGTCTGCGCTTATCTTGTCAATGAGGCCAGTTGGGAGCAGGCGTGGCCACGATATAGAAAACCTGTAAGAACAGATTGATAATAAAATATATTTGAACCCAATGTAAATAGTACCTACTCTATGTCTTTTCAACAAAACAAATCGCATGTAAAATTAAGTTCCTTTAATTATATTTAACATAAATATTTTAACAACCCAATTGGCGTAGTGGATAGTGACCCTGTCTCTTGGGCCAAAGTGTGTGGACGTCGACGGAGCTTTGCTTAGTTTGGGTCTAGAGAATTTTGTGTAAAAATATGTCCCGATATATTTATTTTCATTTATAACAAATGAAAATATTTGACGATTAATATAAATAATAAAAACATTTGTCGGTAATACCTCAATTCATTTAGAATATTTAGAAATCAATCTTGTCTACTAATGATGGTTTATCATTAAACATCATAGACAAGATTGATTACTAAATATTAGCTACATACATTCAAATTTATATCTAGTCTGTATTTATTAATTTCGAAACGATGAGCTCAACTAACGATTGTGATAGCTGCTGATGAACTCATTATGATAGTCCCTTATTAGAGTTCCGTACTCAAAGAGGAAAACCCTAAAACTGTCTGTCCGTCTGTCACCAGGCTGTATCTCATGAAACGTTATAGTGAGACAGTTGAAATTTTAACAGATGATCTATCTCTGTTGCCGCTAAAACAACAAATAATTTGTTATAGCTACAAAAACTGGAAAGAAATATTTAAGTGGGGCTCCATGAAGTGGGCTGTTTTTATAGATAATGGTACCTATAAAAACAGCCCACTTCATGGAGAATAATAATGAACCCTTCGTGCGCGGGTCCGACTCACACTTGTCCGGTTTTTCCTCTACTCATTCAACTGACCTATAGAAATGCAAGCCCATCTCCGCAGCAACTTCGACGTCCTTCCTCCAGTCATAATAAGAGTTGCAGGCCACGTCACCAGTGGCACCACCAGCAATGGTATTCGGATGTTGATGTGTCAACCTGTCCCATATGCTCTCGCCCTTGTCTGGAAACGGCAAAATAGGGTCAAATCAACTTATCAATAAATCAACTAACAATATGAAGTAATATTTTAATAAGATTAAATCTATCTAAAATTACATATAAAATTACATCTAAAAATCTTGTATGTCATTTTAGCGTTACTACCCGTAACTTGTACTCAACCACCAAAGTTTAGCTGGAAGAAAATGCTATTTAACATTAAGTTCGCCTTTGTACAAACTTCTAGTACAATAAAGAATATACAAACAAACAAACAAACATACTATCTAATAAACCTAATCCACGCGGCATGGTGCCAAGAACTCTAGCTGCAGTTCCTCGCTGTAATCTGAATATGAACTGTGGTAGGGCCACGCAACAGTCTTCTGTTGCACGAATGGGCAGGCCCGTCCAGTTAAGAACCACGAACTCACAAAAGACCGGCGTCAAGTGGAAGTATCATACTTCTGAGTTTCGTCTGGCGAATGAGGTAGCCGGGGCCCAATTTATTCAAAATGAATCTGCAATTTGTGTTGCAAATGTCAATCAATGGTCGACGGTTGTCACTTAACATCAGGTGATCCGCCACCTCGATTGACAACTTCTCAAATAAAGAGGTAAGTAATTATACCATAACTATATTGGTAAGTGTTACATATACTTTAATTTTAAACTTAAATTAACATTACATCACTATAATCCTGTAGATAATTCCGACAGCGCAGTTGCCGTGACGCTTTAGTTTCACGAGTTTAAGGTATTATTCTAACTCGGCTAGCCCCAGGGTTGTTTCTGAGTTTCTATGATAAATCACGACTTTTGTTCCCTTAAGAACGTGAGTTGAACATAATATTTCTTTCACATACATCCTGAACACGGCCGGCGCACGAATTTGCGTTTCCAAACTTGAAATTTCTTCATGCGTAATGCGGGAACGTATAAAAAGGTTATGCGAGTACGTAATTCGTCAAACGCGCCTTTAAGGAAAAGAGCTCATACCTGGAATCGCTTGCATAACAGTAACCATTCGCATAACTATGAGTATGCAGCTTACATCGAAATTTTGTGTTTGACTTTGTGACTCGGCCGATTTTACGTGCACAGCAAAATAACACCCGAAAGAATCGCAGTTGACTTTATAACACTATTAACGTATTCCTCTCCACACTTTTCCCCAATACTGCTTGTTTAAGATTCATGGTATATCGCAAAGCCGTAAAATGTTTATAAGATATGCACTTTGATATAAGAATACATTGATTGAATAACAATAACCATTGTGTCCACAGTTTGTTCTTAGATTCTAAGGAGTCGTTACTAAGGACATAAGTAACTAACAGAACAGCAATAGAAGCGATTATTCTAGGCGCGAGACGTCACAGTAATCCAGAGAGAAAGGACAAAACTAAAAATCGGTTCCCCATCCCAATCTGTATAGTACCAACACCTTCATCTACGTCCATTAAATACCCAAATACCAACTTAAGTACTCAAACACTGACCACTGACATTCCACGCGCCTTCTACCTGATAGGAGGAGGTGGCTGCGCCAAACTTGAATCCTGGCGGGAACTTCTTCAGAGCCAGACTCCATTCCGCCGTCAGCAAAACACTGGATACAATAAACAGCATTGTTAAGCTATTAAACACTTTTGTTCGACATTATCAATGAAATAATAAAACTTTTTTAACTCCCTTCCAATCGGTGTATGTCGGTGCATAGTTTCTGACCTGTCGGAGGTCTTTCAGAGTGACTGGGATGAGTTCGCGGTCGCGCCCCGTCTCGCCAACGAGCCTAGTTGGTATATGTAACGGGACACGGAATGACAGAAGTGGTCCCTCCAAACGTACACAAGCTGGTACACAGGACCACCGAAGGAGTTTTAGAAGGTAAGAACCCCACATAACCCTGTCCTATAATGCGACAGGGTATCTTTTGAAGATTTCCCCCCGATACCAATTAAAAGAAGCAAGTCTGATGACTCCATGGCGCAGTTGCCATGGTATTGGCTTCGGTGTCGGGTTCGTGGGTTCGATTCCCAAACGAGACAACTATTTGTGTGACCCGCAGATAGTTGTTTCGCACCTGGGCGTTTGTCTGTGTGAAATGTATGCTTGTAAAACGTCATTACAACACAGAATAATATTATGATTATATGAAAATACACGGGTATTCCTGCTTGAAACATTAGTCCTTTCAAGTTTTAATTACTGCGGTGCTATATATGGACCAAGACTGTAAAAACTGCTCAAGCTATACAAAGAGTACAGAATGCATGTGCAAGGTTTAGTTTCAAAATAAACATATTCTGCCGCACATAAATCGTAAAGGTATACTGGATATCGCAACCAGACGTGAATTACACTTAGCGTGTACGATACAAGAAGTCATATGGGATAAAAACCCCAAATATTTATTCGAAAAACTAACTTGGGTAAAAGATATACATTTGCGAATTACACATGCAGCGGCCACGAATTTACTTGTAATCCCTTCTCACCGAACGACTGGTTTTAAAGGCTGTTTCAAGCATCAAGCTTCTAAAATTTGGAACAATCTACCTCCGCCAATGCGAAAAAAAATCAGCTTACAAACTTTTAAGCGCAAATACAAGGAGTCTTAAATAAAGCAACAGAAGCTTACAGAAAACTTGAAACCAATTACCATTTATAAAAAATTACTACATCCCAAATTAACACACACTATCACGCGCACACTAACACACGAATGCTTCCACAAACAAACACTCACATATACATACCCTCGTACAGAAGCGTCACACTCACGCACTCTCTTATACGTAACAATAAAATATGTAAAATAAATATAATAAAAAAATGTAAATATATAAAATACGTAATAAATATAAGAATATTTGCCTTATTTATTTCTTCGAAGTTCGTTCTTTTATACTTAATAGAAACTTTAATCTCGGCTCTATAACAATAACAGAGTCAGGGGAAACTGAAAATCAGCGCTACACAGTCAGCCTGTTGTAGCATAAGCTGAGTTTGCACCTTTTGCCAAGGAGCTTTTATTTTTTTTTAAATCCCTAAGTAATTTTAATATTTTTGTAAAACTTTTGTCTTTATATAATATTGTTAATGTTCTTTTTAATTCTCTTTTTTTGTTTAGCATTTAAATTTACTGTACAATTTATTTTTCTTGGCAATAAACGATAAAAACCATTTAATCAGCTCGACGAACAACACTGGCAAAAAATAAACAATTGACATGTACATATGTAGAAAAAAAAATAAACAAGTATAATTAATATTAGTGAAAAATAAAAAAGAAGAAAAACTATAATATTCAGGTAAAAATATAAACTATGTGCAGAAAATGTGAGCGTTGCAATGCTGATCAACTCAGCAGGGTCAGCTGCTCAGCATCAGCTGACACCCCCATTGGGATGACCAGCGCTGGTATTCTGCAGAAACCCGTGTGTGTTAACGCGTCGGTCAGTGGCAGATGCGTGACTGAATTTCTTAATGTAACGAAGGCATAAATAAAATTGAATATTATTCATTTCCAGCGAATTTCTTGATGTAACAAAGGCATAAATGAAATTTGAATTGTATATGAGAAGTGTATAATTAATAAATAATCAATAATGCGGCAACCACGATTTTTACATTCATTCATGCTTCCAGGTTCTAGTGATAAATTCAAGCTATCTCTAACCTTGATTTTTTTTTAAAACCCACAGTCCGCCGGACATAATTAATATGGACCGGCCTAAGTATATAATTTATCAACTTGAAAGACACTCTGGGTCATTATTCTCAAGAATCCACATTAATACCGTCCGGTTAATCAAGTTGCCCTTAACTTGTACACCAATTGGACGCGAGTACAGTCGTTTTATTATTTCGTAAATATGATTATGTTCTTTTACGAAAAAGGAAAAGGCCTTATCGTTTTTGTTATTGATGAACAATTGATTCTTTTTTATTCTATGCTCGTATAGAAGGATGGGGTACTATTCAACTATTTGATATCGGATCTATTGGATAAATAAGTTATTCGTTTTTCTAAATTGCACATGAACTATGCTAACATGGTGTAGCTAAGTAAGCTGCAATAGATTCCGAAACAGTTTTTGCCGCGCATTTATGTCTGCACCGTATTTTAAAACATTTCCATGTAAACATACATTTAGGATACGAATACGAGACATTTAGATACTAATTAAATCCGTATACGAGACACAGATAAATAAAATTGGAGTGTCCGTTTGTAATATTAAAATAGCCGCTTTTTAATGAATATGTATGTATACACGGTACATTTACCAATATAATTTTTTTTACAATTCTTGTCTGTCCGTCTGTTCCGGCTAATCTCTGAAACGGCCGGACCGATTTTGATGAGACTTTCACTGGCAGATAGCTGATGTTATAAAAGTAATTTAGGACACTTTTGTTTTAGAAATTTTATATATTTTAAATTGCACGCGGACGAAGTCGTGGGCACAGCTTGTTAGGATACGAATTAAAACACACCGAGTAAGAAATGAAGAGGTTTCTTTCTACTGGTTAGTAGACGTCGCATCTACAGTTTTGGTTTTGACTAAAGTGCAAAAATTCATTTTTTTCGTCATCCTATAAAATCGGCGATTATTTACAGCTACCTTTCATATTTCCTTTAGCGTTGGAGTTATTTGGACCTTTACATTTGCGGTTAACAAAACGATACTGCACACGGGAATTGGCGAGTCGATTTGTTATTTACTATTACGGATTATTACATCAGGTTCAGTTGAATTTACCGATAAACGAATTAGAAACGACGGTCTCAATTATTACAGGATGCTGTACGCCGAACATAATTCAGATATTTATAACACATATAAATGAGAGATTTTAGTCATAACTAACCTTAACTAAACTTGGCAATAAAGTCGATGAAATGTTGATGTTATATGCTAATTCAGCGCTATCAAGAGCCCTGATGGCTCATTGTCCGGGCGCTCGCTTTCAATTCAGTACACTCGAGCAACCTGAGTTCAATCCCCGGTGCAGGCACCAATGAAATTGTCAATTTGTTTCAATAAGTGCTGACTTATCACGTGCTGAAGCGTAGGAAAGGAAGGTATGAAAGCGAAGGAAAACATCGTGAGGAAAGAAAAAAAAATATTTCGAAGATATATGAAGTCCGCCATTCCGCAGTGGGGCCGCGTGGAGGACTATGCCCTGATACCCTCTGTACAAATGAGGCCTTTGCCCAGCAGTGGGACATGTATAGGCTGATACTTTGCTTATGGGCAACTCATTTATTATACGCGCGATCATTCATAACTAACAAACACAAGTTCGTTTCGACGACGTATTTATGAACGACTGGAATGTATATTTTATTCTTTCAAATATTAATTCACTATCTATCACGAGACGATGTGAATATATGCGTTTTTTAACACTTCACTGTAAATACATTGACAATGGTTTAGTATTATACTACTATATAAAAAATATGACGGGTGCAGATTAAAAAAAATTTATCACATCTAAAGAACTTGAATCTCGTAAGATTAATTGGTTACTTTTTACGATCCCATACAATTTCCTTAATGCAATGAGCTATTGTTATTTTCGCTCAAACGTATTTCTTTTAGAATACAGAAACAACGACGTTGATTAATTGACCTAGATCTTTGTAATAGAACTTTACTTACGGCCTATATTAACTAAAACAAACGTATAGAAATAAAGATACGATTTATTTAAATTTATACCAAAACCTTTTTACCGTGGTACGGCCACACAACAGTCTTCACTGTTGTACGATTGGTCCATCCGTTTCATCCGTGCATTTAGGAGCACCGAGTATCCCTCTTCTATTCCTCCACAAATGTTTTTATTTTTATGTGAGAAAGTAGCAAACGAGCTGGCGGTTCACCTGATGTTAAGTTAAAGACCGCCGTCCATGGACATTTGCAACGCTCGTAGGGTTGCAAATGCGTTGCCACCTTTAAATATAGTGGGCCCCGGCATGCGAAACGCAGACGTGTAACACTTCTACTTTACGCCGGTCTTCTTTCAGGTCGTGGAACTTACCCAGATGGACCTGCCCATTCGTGCTACAGTGTCGCGTGGCCCTACCACCGCAGGACCTGTCTAAAATAGTTAACCAAACTTTTTAAAATTCTATGGTTTTCAGAGAAATTAAGAATATATAATTATTTTAGAATATATATTAAATTAAGAATATATATCATAATTGAGCGCGAACGACATCGCGGAAACAGCTAGTTATAAATAATTGCAATGGCTCCCACTAATGAAAGATAAATCACTTTTCTATAATAAAATCTCCGAAGTCAGCAGCATTTATTATTCCTCTAGGCCCAGAAAACGATGCTAAATGACTTTCCTCGCATATATAATGACGCAACTGAACTCAATCCGCTAATGACTTCCTAAGCTACAGTAAGTTACTTAAAGTGTTATCTAAAATTCAAAGGCTAATAAATAGACATCTCGAACACAAATATGTTACTCAACACGTGTTACACGAGAAGTGTGCATTAGCTATAGCCGTCTATAACTTCGATCTCTAATAAAGAAGTTTTTAGAGATCGAAGAAGATTACACACCTTTCGGATTCAT